TAGTAGAACATCATACAAAGTTCTTCAAACTTTTAACCAGCATCTTTTATAGATCCAATAAGAAAATACATTCCAGGTCATTTTGTTAGTTTATCATTTGAATTTCCGTTTTAATTTTTAAAACTTTAGCCAGTTTCTTTTGTGTATCCAATAAAGCATCTTTTCCAAATCATTGGACTATCGGCCTGTCATTTGATGTTCTACTATTGATTCTTTTTTCTCAGATAGAATTTGTTTCATGTCTGTCATGTCTTCATTAACACATTTTAGACATAGTCTATCCATAAAGGCAGACATCATTACTAACAGTGTTGATATTATAATTACTAATTTCTGGGTCCATTCTTCAAAGGTCTCCTTTAATATTTTGATATTATAAGATTTTGTGTCGTTTTGTTAGCCTGGACATTAATCAACATCATGAACAGGCTTGTACATTTCCACCCTCTGCTTGCAATCTTTAGTTCCCTCTAGTGTCCACTTTCTAAAATAATCACTTACATTTGTTGGAATTTATAGCAGCCAGGATAAATTCTGTTTTCCATGAGAAACTGTTTATTTTTTTATTGTTAGTTCCAAAATCTGATAGTAATAAAAATCAATATTCTGAATTTACCTGGACTTTTATCCAGATAAAAACTTTTATTGATCAAAATCATATTTAGCTTTATGCTCTTTATTTCAAATTCTTTCTTACCTACAGGAAATAAGAAAAGAATTTCCATCCAAAAACTCATTTGGGCAGTAAGATGGCAGCATATAAATTTAATAAACAAACAAATAAAAAATCATATCTGCTTGTCATCTGTTGATTAATGCAACTGTTGGTTTTCCAGGTCCCCCGAGAAAGATTCTGAACCAGTAGAAGGAAAAGAGGAGAGAGAACTAAAATCTGTTGAAGTTCCTGGTAAGGAGTTATGATATTGGAGGTCTGGGAAGAGAAATATATACACAATTTTATTGGAAGTTGCAGAAGAAATAGGACAAAATATGAGAGTTGAGCCCTTGCAACTTCTCAGACACTGATTGTACGAGCAGTTTTTGACTTACAACAGTTCATTTAGTGACTGTTTAAAATTACAATGGCTGAAAAAAGTGACTTATTACTATTTTTCACACATATGACTCCCCCAGGTCATATGATCAAAATTAAGATGCTTGGCAACTGACTCATGTTTATGACGGTTATAGTGTCCTGGGATCACATAATCATCTTTTGTGACTTTCTGACAAGCAAAGACAATGGGGAGGCCAGATTCACTAGATAGGTGTGTTACTAACTTTAAAAAACTGCTGTGATTCATTTAACAGCTGTGGCAAGAAAGGTGATAAAATGGGGCAAAACTTAGCAGCTGTATTGCTTAGCAACAGAAATATGGGTCTCATCGGAGTTAGCCATAATTAGGAAAAATTTGGCCTGTGCAGAAGCAGATAGGCTCATCCTCGAATTAAAAAACAAAGGGTAATCAGAATATTATGTAGTTTGGAATAGATTTTATTATTGGTATAAGACAAGGTGACAAGACTGGAACAAATTGTAAATAATGTGATTGGATAGAAGGATAGATAATGTATTAAGCTAATAGCTAATGGACGAGATTTATCTGTATATAATGTGATTGTATGGTCATAACAGCTTTGCTGTGTTGCACTATTTTAAATGTAAAACAATAAAAATATATTTTAAAAAAGAAAGAAATGTGGGTCTCAATTGTCGTCATAAGTTGATGATTACCTGTACTTTTATACTCTATATACATCAAATCTTGTTTCTGTTGTCAATACAGGTGGATTAGACATTCCATAAGCATTCCCTGAAAGTTAAAATTAATTTCTCTTTTGCCACTGAAAATCCATTGTTAAAAAATTCAAAAGATAATTTACCTGATTTAACAGAAAATATATGCACCCCCTTTTTGGCATCAAACAAGATACCTAAAGAAAACTTCAGAAGGAATTGTGTTTATTTTACATTTTAAATTGAGAGTCACTGTAGGCTGGTTTTTTGTAGTAACTGAGTCGCATGTGAAAAAGTTCTTCATGGGGAAAGCAAAGTTATGAAGAAGGAACATTCTTGAGCTAGAAGGCAAACTTTGCTCATTAATGGCTTGTGACTTCCTCCCTGAGCAAGTACAGGTAATCCTCATTTAGTGACCATAGTTGAGACTGAATACTTGGTTGCTAAGCAAAGCAGGCACTAAATGAAACTGTGATTGTGCTTATGATCAGCTAGTTCAAGTAAGACAGGCAGAAACTATTAGTGGAAGGTGGATACCCAGGCCCTAGCCTAGCCAAATACAAACCATTACCTTAAATTGCATCCAGAAACTTAGTGTAACTTGTGAAGCAGAGATAAAACATGGCAGAACTGCCAATGACCAATATGTACACATGCCATTGGATTCTTGCAGTCTCATGTAGATCAAACTATAGTAATTGAGAGATGATGAGCAACTGCCAGTGGGCCTGTGGAACACAAAGTGGGATGGAGCCCATTAAATGGTTCATGTGATGTGGGGGTTATTATATTTTATTAATTTATTATATGATTATTCTCTTTTATTAGTTCTATTGTGTTAGATATGAGGTTTATATTCCTGTAAGCTGCCTTGAGTTGCCATGTGCGAATATATAAATTTCCTAAAATAAAGTAAATAAACTACTTTCAGTCTATCCTGTTAAGAATGCAGCTGGCACAATAACCACAGCTGTGCAAAAGACCTGGGTCCTGGCCTGCTCTTTATGCAGGAGTTGTGAGTCCAAGAGCACCCCCAAATTGCTTGCCTGCTCTTTGGAGAAGCACAATCCCATCAAGAGCTACTGATGGTACAGTCATAGAGTGAGTCTGCTTCTGAACCCACCGGCATGTGTCTTGTTTGGATTGAGCCTGATTCTGTATTCTTACGGCTTCCGGATACTCAGTCTTCCACCACATTTCACAGAGGATCCAGGGTAGAAATATATCATCACACATTAATGTCACTTCATTCTAAACTGGTGCATGCCATCTCCCAGCAATTTTGTGTCAGCATTCAGCAGGAGAGGGAAAAAGACTGAATCATGAGGCACTCATTCCAACCTCTCTCCCTGCTTCCACCACCCTCTTGACTTTCAAGTGGAAGTGAAACCATCATAACAACTGGCTTCCACTTTCCAATTCATGCAGGCAGTCCGGAAGGATACTGTGGTTGACAGTATCAAAAGCTGCTGAAAGATTTAAGAGGACCAAAATGGTCGTGCCATCTGATACAGGTCTTGACATGCCAAGAGTCAGATAATCTGCATCTTTTTGAGTCCCTTATTGTTTCTTACCTTTTTTATATTCATATTTTGTTCCATATTTCATATTATATTAAGAAATGTAATTAGGCGAATGTGTAACCTGTAAGGAGATAGCTACGGTAATGGACAGCTTTTCAGATTACTCTTGGAAATTTACTTCTCAAATGAAGCAGTTTTTAAAATTTGGTATAAATGAAGTAGAAGGACCTATTCCTCTTCTCCCTTCCCCTCCTCCATTCATTATGTTGAAATAATGAGACTAGCCCAAATCATCCAGTGAGCTTCTGTGGCTGAGGGTAAATTAAAATCTTGGTCTCTTTAGTGTCAATCTATCATATTAACCACTGTCCCAAAGTGTCACAGAAACCTATGTGGCTGAGGTGGGAAGAGAACCTGGGCCTCTTTAGTCCTACACATGACCTTACCAGTGTATTCACTCATTTGCAGATTCAGTTGCAAAAATCATGGCTGCAATGAACCCTGAAAACACATTGTTGAGCGGACAGATTCAACATATTTGTTTTCTGGAGTCATGGAAGAAAGTAGAAAAAAAAGACAAACTCTTCCAGTCCCCCAGTCACCAAATTGGAGGGTTCTTTTCTGTTATGGGAAAGAAAGCCAGTTTACTATCAGAGGCAAACTGTGTAAATACTTCTCTACATAATTGCTTTTATTTGATCGGATATGTTCTTGGTTCACTGTAGACCATGGATGATCAACCTTTTGGCTTGCTTGGGTCACATTGAATGAAGAAGAATTGTCTTGGGCCACATATAAATATATATAATACAGTGAATATATATAAATATCCCTAAAAATCAAATAATAGTGTTCAAAAGTTTAAGATCTTGTGGGGCTGCATTACTAACTGTCCGGGGCAGCATGCAGCCTGAAACCCATGGTTTGGACATGCCCGGTGTGAACTTCACAAAAATTTTATGAAGGTCTGGCATGATAAGAGGAATCTCTCTCACAAGAACTAGAAATGCTGTTCTTCGAATCTGCCAAATATTAAACAACTGATCCCCAAGAATAAAACTTGTTGATAAAGGAAGGAATGGGTGATGCATGCTTTTCTTCCATCATGAAAGGGAAGTTAATGGATTTACAGCAGTGGTGCCCAATCTTTCTGGCTTCACAAATTGGCGGCAATGGCAGCAGGGGTGGTGTTGGGGATGGTTTCCCATGCACAACCTAGATTCCACACATGCCCAAATGAAGTTTCGTGGCTACCAACCACTTTGCGCAGCCCAATTCCCAACAGACTGTGGACCGTTACTGGTCTGCACACCAGGGATTCGGAGCCCTTGATTTACACGAAAGAGAAAAAATTGTTCCCCACCTCTTTCTATCAGTGAGATCATTAGAAGTGCCTAAATTATCTGCTTTCTGTTTTGTTTTGTTTTAACCCAATGACTTGTGTTTCTATGGTTGCAGATGAGGAAGAAAGCAAAAAGATAAAAGCAGTGGACAAAGGAATACAGGCAGAGCCTGAGTCTATACCAGAATGCAAGGAGGATTGTGAATGTTGTTTGGAAGATAAGTCTGAGTCTGCTGATGAAGAAGATGAGTCCCTGGATGAATATGAGTCCTATGATAGATGGAACAGCCCCTGCAGGGGATATGAAGCTGGGAAGCAGGAGGAGCAGGAGGAGGAGCAGGAGGAGGAGCCTTATGAATATCCTTCCTCATCCCTATATGACTCTCAGTATGGCTCTAGTCCCTCCACTGTTTATGGCATGACTTCTGCAAGTACATCTCCCCAGTACTATGTAAAGAAATATGGGTCACATTATACATATATCGCCTCTCCTATATATGAGCCCACGAAAGCTTATGAACTGTATGATCCACAATACGGATGGTCCCCCGGCGATGACTCACAATATGAATATGAATTCTCTCCTCCACCTGAGTCACAATATATATATGAAACTTCCTTGGGGCACAAGTCTCAATATAGCTACGATGGCCATTCTCCATATGAATGGCACTATGAATATGAGACTCCTCCAATATATGAAATGCAAGATGAGGACAAAACCTCCCCAGAATATGAGTCACCCTATGAATGTGATTGTTCTCCTACATATGACTGGCCCACACAGCAGAATGAGTCAGAGATCAAAGATGCTTCAACTCCTGAATATGAGATCCCCGCTAATTGGAACAAACTGCAGAAGAATTGCAGATCCCCTCTAGGGAACACTGGCTTAGAAGACAAACCAGACCCTTCTTTTAGAAGTAACAATATTCCCCAAACACTGAAGGGATTATCAGATGAAAGTAAACATAGTGAAGGAATGCCCAACTCAAGTAGAGGCACTCCTCCAAATTCTCCCACAGGTTCTGATGAGCAAGGCAAAAACCCACAGACCCAGCCACCAAATGGAGTAAGCAAACTATCATCGGATAATACAGATGGGATCCTCAGTGGCGTGAGGAAATTTTTGGATGGAACAAGGAAGCTCTTAGGTAGAGGGAACCATCTTCCAAAAGATCAATCACCAGAAGGAACCAAATGGGCCAGCCAACTTCCAAGCATAAACAGCTCGCCCCAGAGGGGGATGAGGCCATTGCATGGCAGTGGAGGCTGTCTTCTGCATGGGAACAACCTGTTTTTAGACAATCTCAGCAAGCCAAGAAGGCAGAGGAGCCCAGGAATGAGCCAAGGAATCCCACCACTTCTCTCAAGAAGAGGCTATTGTACACGAGCTGGAATGACACCTCGTCTTCCAGATATTTCAAGCAGGTTCCCGGGCTCTGTAAATAGGTTTCCAGGCAGGGGCAACTTCTCTTCCTTGACTCCCCATTCCAGCTCTACCTATAACTCCTAAACTCAGGAGTCTGTTATAAATCTTGGAGATCTGGATAGGTGCTTAATAAAGGGTGGAAGTAGAAGTCTTCCTTCCAGTCCGCATTTACTGTAATTTCATGAAAAACTAGGCTCATAGAAATACTGTAAGCCAGCAACCCAGGAAGTTTTGACCAAGTTACTTAGAGTAGTAAAAAAAAAGTTGCATGATCTGTATACTTGTATGTATCTATATTAGTAGTTAATATTGTATTTCAAATTCTGTGAGCAGATGCTGTTTGAGGAGCATTTCCAAACAGAACACAGTGTGTGTGTGTGTGTGTCTGTCTGTCTGTCTGTCTGTCTGTCTGTCTGTCGGCCATTTCGGTCTGAAAACTGCTTAGTTCAGAAATTGATATTGAAGCAGAGGATCATAAGAAATTATTGGTACTATGAATAAGCATTTCTCCATCTTTATTTGGATCAGAGTTCCTAGAATCTGAATTGTAAAGGTTACCACGATAGAATGATAACCACTGATATCCATTGGTAATCTGCCTTTTAAGATTGGGGTAAAAAGCAGTAATGAAAGCAACAAAGACTTTTGCAGGGAACTACAAGGGTTACGAGTTGAACTGTGATCCAAAGTTAAGTGTAGTGTAGCTTGCGCGCAGGTGTTTATGCAACAGAAAAAATCCACTAAAAAAGAATTTACTTCAAGGTAAGTGAGTTTTCATAACATAGCAATTTTTTAAATCCCACACAATTTAATTGGAGAAAATCAAAAACATCTTAACTCTCTCATCAAGATTAACAGGACATAAGAGTACTTAATGTTACCAAATTATTTTTTTATATGAAAGTCAAAATACTCAGGATTCAGTTTTAAAGAAATGCAGTTTGCAAGTTGCATCCTGTTCTTCCTTGGCACCAGCATATTGATAGGAGATCCTCCATCTTTTCAGGAATTGCACAAGATGCTGTAATTTTCTGAATTTGTACTTAGGAACTACATAAAACATCTTTTTGTAATCAAGGTTTAAGGTTTAAGTTATCTGGCTTTATTATCATCATAAAGGATCACTGCGATGGACAGTGGGGGAGCGTGTTTGGATAGGTTTGTCTGAATTGTATTTTCAATCTGTTATTTTCTGAGCCATAACTGGTTGTCTGCCTAGGTCTTGATGCAGATTAGAGGGAAAAGGATGCATTATTAAATATTAACTAGTCATTTGACAGAAGAGGGGACATGTGTCGATACTTTTCCACATTTAAATCAAAGATCAAGAACATCCATGTAAAGATGGGAGGAGCCATGTCACAACGATACATTGTTTGGATTTGGCTGTCTGAATCCATCGATGACACTTTTGCCCCTGGACGGTCCGGCAGGACCTAAACCGTCCCGAAGTGATGGTGACTGGGAAGACAAGACCTTGCTGGTCGCAGGGATATCGCAAAGTCCCTGATCAACCCAAGGGGAGAGCTTCCAACTAGTGGCAAACAGCCAGCTTCCCCCCTCCCCCGGCTGACATAGTTGGAGACCACTCCACGGAAGAGAGAATGAAACA